TTCTTTTATTTTTTCTTTTAAGGATTCTTGTTTCCTTACTGTGTTTATCGCGTTTTCTAAGCATTTTCCTGACTTTGGAAACATGAGTTTTGGGAATTTTACGAAGCTCTCTACTGCGCTACTGCTGCTTGGATGCGTTACTGCTGCTTCGATTAATACATGAAGTATTCAAAAGTTCAGTCTTAGGGGAAAATAGCCTTGATTGAAAAACGTAAATATATACACTTTTCCCGTTTTCGACTTACATTTATTAAGAAATATATATTCAGGGGATTTAAGTATATGCTTCTTTGACTCTTTGAGCCCTTTCTGTTACTTAAAGATCTGATTCTGAAAGGAAATTTTTTTCGTTTTTTTATATAAATTTAGTACAAAATTATAGAAAGAATTAAAATGAGTTAAACGTATTTTAAAATTGTCCCTTTGTAAAAGAGCGTAGTATTTTTAGCTGACACTTTTTTTTATATAATTTACTAACGATTGAAGCTTTATTATATAATATGAAAATCAGCAAATTACTGTGGTATTTTAAATAAAATTTGGAAAAGAAACGTTTGGAAAGTAAATATATTCATACGTATAATATAAAATGATGCATTTTGCTGCTTAATGTAGATGCATTTTGGCTACATTTTTATATACATCAAAAACATCAGACTTAAAATGACGTCTGAGTTTTCCTGCTTTTAAAAACGAAAATTACATATACAGTTGTGTTATGCAAAATATCAGTTTTGCATAATCATTTAGGTTGTAGAGACATTAGGATTTTTTTGGAAGCCAGAGAAATGAAAAATTAGCAACCGCCTTCGCCGGAAATCGAACCACGGATGTCTGGAATACCGGCTCAGCGTGCAGAACCACTACACCACGAAGGACGCTAGGAAAGTGGGAGAAATACCTTATATACTCCCCTTTTTAAACGGCGACTAGGGTTTTAGGAGACCTAGTCGCCAAATCCTGGGTGCGGAGAATCATCATCTCCCCAACCCTTTTAGTTCGGGTGTCACTTGTAGAGACATTAGAATTTTTTGGAAGCCAGAGAGATGAAAAATTAGCAACCGCTTTCTCCAGGAATCGAACCACGGACCTCTGGAATACCGGCTCAGCGTGCAGAACCACTACACTACGAAGGACGCTAGGAAAGTGGGAGAAATACCTTATAAGGTGTGCATGTAAACCAGTTAATGAACTGAAATGCTCAGTTAAATAAGTTCGCCATGAGAAAGACTTAATTTACCGTTCTTCAGAATAACGCTTAAAAGAATTTTAAAAGTAAATAAATGTATTTACATCCTATCATATTATACGTGGCTTAAAATTATTGTAATATAGTTTATGTTTACATGAACGCAATAGTGTAGAAAATTATTGGTGTATTTTATTTTCGTGAGGGAAATATATCTCCTTTTCGTTTTTGCTCCCTGGTTTTTGCGTTTCAAGAATTAAACGAAAAGGATTTTTTATATATTAAAAAATATATAAAAAATCCTTTTCGTTTATTTCACTTTCTGTGCTAAAGTCAAATTAACAGACAAATTTTGTAAAAAAGTTAAGATTACCTGAATATGTGAGGCTTAAACGTTTGAAGCGAAAGACTGAAGGACTTAAAAGCTATTTAAACACTTAAATTGTTATGAAAATGCATTATGATTTTGTGATAAAAAATAACACTACAGAGACAATAATATTTATCACAGAGATGAAATAGCATTATTATGGTGAATAAATATTACATAGAAAATCTATAAGTAATATAGGATAATCAGCTAATGTTAGTAAACTGGACTTAATATTATTCATCAAAAATGTATCATATTGAATTTATTTGGCATATTCTACTCTCTACTACTATTAAATATATTTAGCACACTCTAGCTCTCAAAAGATGTGTCTTGCTCAAATGTTACGCGAGGAGAGCACCGCAGTTGGATAGCGGAACACTTTGAGAAAATGTATTTTCAACACGCTTACATATTTCAAGTTCAGAGCATTTCATTCAATCAGATTTTACTAAAATTTTGAAAACTTATTCGACGAACATAAATTGTTAAGTTCTGCTTTACTGAAAGTATATTTATTTAAGTGGTGATGGAATCCAAAAATCTTCAAAAAAAGGATTTGAGATTTTTACATTTTCAAATTCTTTACACATTTAGCTTTCCAAAAATACCATGCTTTAATCTCTATGAAAATTAGAATTGTAAGACATGTAATTTTAATTTGTCATCGAATGCTTTGATAAATGAGGATTTTTACATAAAAACGTGTTTTTCTTCAAACGTGATTTTTTTTATATTCGATGTACCTTTTCTCATGAACACAGGTATGCAAACTTTTTATAGCTTATTTATTAGGTTTCCTAATATTTACTGAAATGAGATTTTTTTGACAAATTTAGAAACAAAATTTACACAAATTTGTTTTGTGAGAAAAGTGCTAAATTTTACTATGTCTAATACAATATTCTATAAATTACTCTAAAATTCAAAGTATTTCAAAAGCTGATTTCAGTAAAATGAGATAGATGCACTTCAATTACAGCAAAAAATTCAAGCGTGTATCTACAGCAGATTTGGAGAAAAGATACATCCAAAATGGACAATTTAACATTGTCGGTGTAGGGGGTTCTCACTGCCCTAAATTCATTTTGCCCTTAATGTAGTGAAACCAAGCAATAAATTGAGGAAGTTCTGGAAAATGTGCACTTCTATTTCAAGGCGAATTTCATGAGTTCAGTTTAACAGTAAATTTCACAATATTTTCCCCATTAAATGATATTAAAATTAAAATAAATTTCGAAATAGAAAAGATCGACACTAATATTTCATCTGAGCAGAGAAATTTCAACAGATACATTTATATGAGGTTATGACTGTTATTTATCGCTGTCTCTGCGATCTCAGCTCAATCTGTGAAAGATTAAGAATCTGCAATACAGAATATGGCAAATATGATTAGAATCATCCTCATCACATGATATTTGAAATATTTCATTATACCATTACATGCTAAAATAACGTACATGAATAATTTGTAACTAAAAGTTGCAGATTTGGAACAAAATTTGTAACTGATAACAATTTAATATTACTAAGTTCTTATTTCATTGAGACAAATCATCAGTTATAGTAAAAAGTGCTTGTCTTAAGGCAAGACCTTTATATGCTATTCAATCAACTGAATGAACAAACTTACCTTTAGGAAGGCCACTTCATGATCATCTGATTAAAATAGCTAAAAACATATTTTGTATTATAGTAAAGCAAAAATTCTAGAATACAGTGATTCGAGTACGGAGAATTCGTAAGCCTCCGGATGACTCTGAAATTAAAAGTAACCCTTTCGCAAGAATAATTTTACACTTTTAAGTATTATTTTAGAACTACATGAAGTTGCACATTAATAGGTACTTCGTTTAAATTCAGCATGCTCATTTGTTTTTTTCCACATTGTTCCAGATTTAATAATTATTATTTTATTGTTTTTGTCAGTGATATATGTTGCCCAGTTACCACAGTGATGATTACTATTCTTTCTGTAAACTGAGGATTCATATGATTTGAGAGAGCAGAAAGATCTTCAGAATCTAAAGATTGAGGCACTATTTTAATTTTTTTTCATTTAAATTACCTGGTTGAATATTTAGAAATTTTGTCTGTCACAAATTCGGCATGTACATGCAGCGTGGTTTTAAATAATTAACCCTGATACTTAAGGCTCCCATAAGTTATATTGATTTAAAATAAAAGTTACATTTTACAAAACGTCCAAGCATAGCGGGGTTTAAGGAAATTAGAAACTTAAAAAAAGTGTAGGATATTGTAAGAAATTTCTCACTAGAATCTGTAAAGGATTCAAAGGTTCAACAAAATGTTTATAATTAAAAATATTCAAGAACCGAACTTGTTCAGGTAAAAAGAGTTTGTCTTGTGTAAGAATGTTTATAACAAGAAAAGTTATGTAAGCAATAATACTTTTTGTCAAGTTTCAGCATTTTTATCAAATGAAAGGTATTCTTACATGAATAATCTAAAAAAAATCCAAATCTCTTAAAGTCATTTTCTACTTTTTTTTTGTTTTTTATTTCATTAAAATGAACTATTAGGTAATGAGTCATTTATGTAAGCGGAAATTTTAATTAAATTCAAGATGCCAAGAAAAATTTAAAAAAAGTATTTTCTCCTCTTCAAAAATAATAAATTAAATTTCAGAACACCTCAATTCTGCTAAGTATAGTATTAAAATCTAAAGAAATGAAAAGAAATTTTGCTAATATTTTGAAATAATTTAGGCTTAATACCGTTTTTTCAAGCAGAGATTTGCACAGATTTTCGGGGGCTTTTGGAAAGCGGCAAAAAATAAGAAATATTAATATGAAAGGTAATTCTAAAATTTCATGACTCAGTTTAATATCGTGATTTAACAATCATGCGTTGATCGTAATTATAAACCCTGAAAGTATGCGGTTTGAATGATAACTATGTATAAAAACTAATTTTCTCGAAATTGTGTGTTACACAAAACAAGCTTTTCATTTTCAGTGAAAGAACTTCTTAAAAAGTGTTCCATACTAAATATAGCATACTGACTAGTATTATTTTTCCGCTTTTATTAAAAACTCTCGAAGAAAAATTGTATTTTTATATAATAAAATTTACTCTATTCAAAGTTATGGTCCTATTTTGAAGCGCGAGTTAAGAAAAATTAATAGATAATTTCAGACCACAATGCCAGTCGGATGAAAACTTCGGCCAGACTGATATTTAATTTCAAACTATATTTCTCAACGTTGTTTTCTTATGTTTTTCATGCATGTGTGATTAATAATTGTTTCTGTCATTTTTCAACTACCCTAACTTTCAAGCGGCCCGCAACTTTGAGCAACAGTATTAGCCAGTTCCGCAATATCATTGATTAGTAGAACTGAAGGGGTATGCTTGTATTTCTCTGTAAAGTGTTTTTGCTCTTATGCAACTTGTGGAATAAGATTTTCTTACCTTCCCTTTTAACATTGGCCAAGTTGTGATGAAAAACTCTCGAAAAATCGATCAGGTAAGCTCCTCGGGCAATTAAAGCCAAGCTCAAAGCTACCAACACTTGCACGTACACTGCACGTCGGACCAACATGTTGCTGCCAATGGAAATCTTCCGGGTTCCGGAGCGTGAGGATGGTCGTAAGTAGCGATCGTCAAATAACCGGATGAAAGGACTGGCGTTGGGGACCGGGGCTTTTAACGTTAGCCTGGGCCTACGCATGTTGAAGGAGAAGCGCGTCGTCGCGGGCATGCGTAGATAAAACGGCCAATAGCAGCCCTCTCACCTACTGCTTTTTCTTCGAATGGGTGGAGGCTGAAGATGACATCATTCACTTCACAAATCTATACCTAAGGATTCTGTTTCGAACACCTTGATATCAGTAATAGTTAGTCAGCATTTTTAATTTAGATATCGGAAAATTCATCTATGGTCACGGAATTATTTTATTTTATCCTGCTTTTCAAATATAAGTTAAACATCCTTCAAGGGGGAAAAAAAAAAAAAAAAAAAAATGCGGTCAAAATACGTATACGGAGGTGCCTTAACTTTGCGATTATTGTTAATTTAAACGTAGATATTTTCAAGGCGGCAGGATGCAAATAAGCTCCAGTATTCTGCGCAGAATTATAATCTAGCGCCTCACCGTTCTTTGTAAAATCAGTCGTAGCTGCAACCCTTGAAAACACGTTAACGTTTAGATAATATTCATTCATTTATGAAAAACATTCTACCTATACATAAGAGAAGAAAAGCCTTTCAGTAAAGTTTGCGACCCAAGGAAAATAGTTTTGCCACTTTTCTGTCATCTAACACTCGGATGTATCAACCCTTTGGTGCAGATGATTATTAAAAAATCTTAAGAGCCGAAGTTTAAGTACGCAAGAACGAAAATGTTCTTTCGCATTTACTAGGAAGAACTGTACTCATGATTAAAGCTGCTGTATACAGCTTTCAGCTATTTCAGATTCTGATTTATATTATTTTAGTTTATATAGGAATTAAGGGATAACTAAATGGATTGACAGATAGTTGGTTATAAATGGAATAAATAGTTCTAAAATTACGCTCAGTGAACTACATATATTCTGGGAAATAAATTTAGGGAAGTGTTCAAAAGCTATACCCATTGAATCCTTCTAAAACTTCAAATTCTCTGAACAAAAAGTTTTGAAATTTTTAGAACATTTTCAAATTATTATTTTTTAAATCATGAGTATCAAGAAAACATATGTAAATTCTGTGTATTTATCAGCCAAGAAGTCCTTAAAGAAATAAAATTAAAGAAAATCATTCATATATTTCAGGTGCTATGGCCTCATTAACAATTATTTCAAAAAGGCTTTAAGTTTCAGATTTCCTGATAGTAATATGATAGCCGGCAGTGTAATAAAATTTTCTTCTCCGTTTTGATTAAAGTGTTAAAAAGTCAAGTCGTTTCAAATATCATTCGCTTTGTGAATTTACTTTTCCTAGATATGCTTTGTTTGATTTGCTCACATTTACTTATTTGCAAAATGGATGTCATGTCTTCAAATGGTTTGTAATAGTTGTTTAAGCACATAATTTAATAGATCTGAGTTAAGTTTAATTGCTTTCCATGTAATAGGATTTAAAAAATTTTCTAATTTTTAGAAAAAGAAAAAGATTTTAAAAGGGAAGGCTACTGTTACCTATATAGTCTGTTGGAGGTTTCGACTATAAATGATTAAAACAATCTATAATCATGAGAAAAATATGACACACTTTCTTTACTTAAACTGCGGAAAAATAAAAAGAATGCCTGTTTAAAAAAAAATGGCTTTTTCCTGAAAGACGTTTTAAAATTTTCCCCTTAGTTACGAGAAGTAGAGTGTTTGTTACAGAAAATCTTAGGCCCTAAGATGTCTTACGCCACAAAAGAAAGCCCTAAATATATGAGAAATAGTCAATCTAATGAAAATGGAAGACGCCAGGATAAAATGAGTTTTCTAATTTTTTTGCCTAGCATTAAATAATATCATTTCAGTCCACACTTGTTCAAGTCTAGAAGAATATACTGAAGCATTATGTTTAGAGATAAAGGTAAGAATTGAAATAATAGCAACTTTAAGCACTGTGCATGTATGTACTGTTTAACACCTAATTTTATTTATGGAATTATTTATCATTTCTTATTGTTCCTAAATTTATTTGCGATACCTGTGATAATATATTAAACGTTTTCACACTGGCATTAATAAGTCACGATTTTCAGGAAAATAATTTCTATGATGAAAACTGTCATCGTAAAATTCGGCAGGTAAAAAAAAAAAAAAAAAAAAAAAAAAAAAAAAAAAACATTAATTTTTAAACTCATCTTTTCGTTTGTTTACATTTGGCATAGCTATTTAATAGCCATTAAAATTCAATGACTCATCATTTCTGAGTAAGTATATTAAATTAGATATTTCGCGGAACTTGAACCCTCTTTGCCTTAAGGCTTTGTCATGATTTAAGTTCTGCATACTCTGGCGAGACATTTCTAGAGAGAACGTTTTGCGCAATCTAGTGGAATTTAGTAACTGCGAAAGGGAAATAAGGTACTAGAGCATTCATGCATGATATGCGAAAATAGCTACATAGGAAATTATACTTATTAGCTGAGTTAATTGCAGTTTGACACACTACAACGCATGTAACTGATTTAAAGCTGATATTAAAAAATATAGTTTGACATTTCAAAACTTACTTACTTAAAATGTCAAATTCACTTAGAGCTCAGATTTTTTAAGAATATAAAGCAATGATCAAACAAGAAGCTTAACTAGCATTTTTACCAGAGTACAAAAATAAAACAAGTATTTAATATAATATTTAGCTTCTTGGCCTTCGGTTAACCGCTTAATGACGGCATTTATATTAGAAATTATCCGAAAATCCCTGATTTATTTTATACCATTTTTATTCTCTACAGATATCACTAGATGTTGTTTTGTAAGACGCATATTTTTTTTTTCGAGGGAAAAACAGGATACTTATTATGGTTCATGGCAGCAATTCAACTCGAGCTTCAATGAAGCAGCCGAGAAAAACACAATCTAGCTAAAAGTAATACAGAACTATAGTCTAGCTAATAAGAGCTAAAGTAAAAATCAAGTAAATACATTTTACGATCTATAAATCTCATTGACAGTATGGTACAGTTTGAAACATGGTGTAACACATAGCGGCACATCACAGTCTGAACAATAATACCGCCATTACCGTTCGAAGGTAATCATTTCTAGCGGGTAATCACAAAAACCGCTTGGACATGTGCAGCTAAGAAAACATGTTCATGGCAGTGTTGATTGCCACGCGATATTACGGGCGATGGCATTAAATATCCATAAAATTTTCAGCACTCGAATTAACTTGTTCATAGGAAAATCGACACGGCATCTATTCCCGAGATATCTCGGGCGCGGTCGTTAAGCGGTTAAGAAGAAGAAAGTCCAATAGGTAACATGGATAAAGAAGATTGAATACACTGAACTATTTCAACAAAAACTTACAATTTTTGAAGAGTTTGCGATTGAATTCTCTAGTCAAACTACAACATAGTAATAATAGTTGCAGCATATTATTTATTCTTTTCTTAACGATACAAATTCAAGAAATTTTTTTTTTATTCCAGTTTTTGAATTTCTGATTTTTGTGCTACCATGTTTTACGAGGCTCTGTCTATAACATTTCAGCTCCCACGATTGCGATTACCTTTATGATAGTAAAAATATTTTGTTTTTCAGTTTGTAATTTATGCGTATGTAACACTCTCACATTTATAATTTTTGAATTTATAGAACAGAAAATTTTTCCATGTCTTAAAATTACACATTTAAAACAAAATTTTTAAAGTTTAATAGCTACGTAGCACCTCATATTTATAATTCAGAGCTATTCACACTGATTTTAATGAAAAGAAAATTTATAAGACTAATTCTTCTTAATATTTCTTATACCTCTTTAAAAATATTTCGATTTTCAAAATATTAATAGCTTAACAGTTAATGAATGCAAATATTGTTTTTATATATTTTGTTTTTATATTTTTGTATTTCTTATATCTCTTTAAAAATCGGAATATTTTTTAAATGGGACTACTTTAACAGTTAGTGAATGCAAATACTGTTTTTATATACTTGAGTATGTTACAGAAAGTTTTAGTTACTAAATAATTATACTGAAATGTAGTCTCCCTTCCATAAAGCATAAAGGGAAAAAGTGGGCTCTGGTTTGAAATAGAGAAAGGCCGTTTACTTTAAATAAAGAAAAGTGGAAGATAAATCAGCGCCGTGTACGTTCACAAGAAGAACAGTGTTGGAACATATTTTTTCAGGAGTTTCCCGTATTATGAAATGCTTTTCACCTCATGTGCTTTTTGCTTTCCTAAATCATGTTAATTAAAACATAAAAAATTATTATTGCACCTTGATATGATTCCATTCTTGGCACTAAATACGCATCAGGTCTGCAAATACATTTAACTAGTAGCTTTAATTCTTAATGACGTCCAAAACCTGAAAAGCAAGAAACGCTTGAGGAATGTGGAATTACTTGCAAGTCATTACGATCATATTACATGAATCCATACTTAAACCATCTCAATGAAAATTTAAACACTGGTTTAAAAAAATATTACATTGAACTCGTAACAGAGAAAGACAATTTTTTTATAAAGTGTACTTCGTTGAATTGCTTTTAATATTTATAACCTCAATAATGTAAGTCAAGTTGATTTGTTAGTCATAAACTATTATTTGACTCTTTGGAGAATTTTTACATGGAGATAGAGATTATCATATTTGAAAAATGCTGTAAGAGTTCAAAGATGAAATATTTTCATTGCAGCAAGAAGCATATTTTTCTTATTTGTAACAATATGATTATAATACATTTGAACGCATTTATATTACTTAGTAATCCTTAAATATATAAAATTTAAATAAATAGCTTCTTCGTAAGTATTTCTTTCTAATAATTCTAAATTTTAATGTTTTTAAGTAACATTCGTACGATGTATACTAATTTATTTCAGATTTAATGTTACTACTTATTAAGTTTTCCCACCATAACTTCCAGCCCCAATATACTCGGAGTATATAATTTTGTGATTTTTACGAGCGTAATAAATTTTTAAAGATCTGTGTGCATAAAAATTCATTTCCTTCGAATAGAACTTTTTTTTCCTTTTTTAAATTTTCATAATATCCAATCACATCCTTTCTGACAGTCAA